TTCTCCGATTAGCCTATCCCGATCTGTTAAAAATTTACGATATTTTCTAGTATCTTCCTGCCTTTCTATTCCACCACGATAGAAGCGTATATCTCTCTCCAAGTCTTCACGGAAGCATCCCATGGCCCACCTATTTTTCTCAGCCTCAGTAATGACCGAAAATTTCTCGGGATCCATTCCATGTTCGATGGCGTATTGGCGTAAGCCTGCCTCTGGCTGATAAAGGCGGGTTTTGTTTGGTACACTTACTTGAATTTCTGGTAAACACTGTACAGCAATAATAACTTTCTTTTGATCGATACGAAAAGGGCAATTAAGGAAATAGTGGTCATCTTTACCGAGACAGCTCCAATCGCCCCATATACCTCGATATGTATGTACCTCTTTGCATACAGGGCATTTAGCTTCTGAATCGGTATATTTAAATACATCTCGATGCCATGCATTAGAATTGGTATATGTCAAGAAAGGGAAGCGTTTATGTACTGCTTCAACAATCACATCTTTCTCTTCCGGAAACTTAGAAATCTTGATAATATAGTCATGACCCATATAATTATCAGTATCCTTTTCGATTTGCAAAGATTCAGAGGGTTGGGAATTCACCCAAGGATCAAGGCCAGTTTCATTTCTATATCTTTTATATAATTTGGAACGATTTTTATCTGTTAAAACGCCAATTAACTCAGCTTGCCAATCCAGAAATTCGGGGGTTAAAGACTTAGTTTGTGTATTCATGTTGTCGTTTTATATGATTACAAAGCAATTTAATTTCCCGCACGGGATATCATAAAAAAATGTCTTGCTGAAAGCAGTCACATAACCTAACTATTTTCAAACTTCGAGTGCATGGCCAGAGAAGGCAGATATACACAATTATTTCGAAGCTAGTATAATAATGTCGATTCCAGATGCTTCACATTTAATATAGTAAGATCCATCTTTATATTCTCCATTTATACCATCCTCATCCTCATGATTTAACTTGCATATTGGACATGGCGTTTCAGCATTAACCCCATAATAATCAATATTTTTTTTACTCATATATTCAAAATATAAGTCGGGATATTGCTCCAATGTTTTGTTGCGAAAATTAGCATGGGCGTGGGCTGGATTATTCTGTTTTTCAGATAAGGTCTCAGGTTAAGATATAGGTAATGTATTTACCTTAGTTTCTGGTGAGGTCTCTTTAACAGTGGATTTCGAGACAGGTGGTGCATCTACTGATACATCGAGTTCTATTTTTGGAGAAAGACTAAAATCAGAAGATAATTTTTCTTTATAAGTGCGGGACGGATTTGTCTCGCAGTTATGTGATTTTTTGGAAACGGAATTGATAATATTTTGAATATTAGTATCGGTTAAACATGAAATAGTAGTTGCACTATAAGATCGAACTTGCTTAATTTTATCTTTACCTATTGTTTCGAATAGATTATAAATTTTAATAATTCTCTGAGTTTTCTTACGCAAATTTTCACGTGTAATGCCTGAGAGATGTGAAATCATTTCATCATAAACTTGACCTCTTGCTAGATCATTAGCTCTTTTATTATTTTTGCAACCCAAAGGATTAGACAAAATTTCACTAACCATTTTTTCAAAGTCCTTCCCGTAATAATACCAGCATAAAATTTCTTCCTGTTTAGCTTGAATTGTATTTTTTTCCGCCAAACTTGCTTTCCGGTATAAATGAACTAAGCCCCGTACAGTAGCAGTTTTCTCATCGTTCAAATAAAAAGATTTCTTAATTTCAATGCTCTCCTCTATGATAAATTCTGTTAACTCTTGTATTAAACCTTGTTCTACCATTTGATTACGGGTAACTTTTTGATCGATAGACGTTTGTTCTGATTTACTAGAAATTCTTGTCAAAGTCGAGGTACCCACGCTTTCGTGCTGAAAATTCGATTGGATGTTTTTCTGTTCACGGGAGATAATAGGCTGGGAAGCTGTGATTGTTTCTTGTTCTCGAAGTTTCTTGTCTTTAATGTTTTGAATAATCTCTTTACTAACCGTTTCCTTGTATGTTGAATCTAGAAATTCATCGACTTCCTTATTTTCCAACGATTTAGTCTCTGTGATTATGGGTTGATATATATTAGAATCAGACGTGCTCTCTATCTGTTCGGGTGAGACAATTTTCTCAGGGATATAATCTTGCGCCTGTTCTAGATTCACAGAGTTGGTGATATCATCCTTGCCGGAGGGGTCATTAATAGACGATGGAATAGG